AGTGTCGGGGCGAAAGCGTGCGCCGAAAAGCAAGGCAAAAACACTCCGAAAAGCAAGCAGCAGAAGTGCGCCGAAAAGCAAGGAGCAGCAGCTTCAGCATCTCCGGAAAAGCGCGCCCAAAAAACAGCGCGCACGCTGTCTCTTTATAGGTCTCCTTTGCTCTCAATTGGCCGGTTTTGTATTTCCAGGCTTTTCAGCCAATAAGACAGGAACTTTGTCCCTCCATTGCAGCTGCTTTTCCTGCCAAGGCTCCTCACCTGCAGCAGCTACCCCCTCAGGGCATCAGAGAAGGCAGCAAGGAGAGGGTTCAGAGTGTCATGTGGAGCAGCTATCTTTAAGTCAGTTATGTCTGCTGACCTAAAGGTCATTTCATGTTCATGTGAGGAAATACCTGGTCCCTCACACAAGCCCGAAATCAAAATGTCAAGTTAGGTTGAGTCTTGGGCATGCTTAAAATGCCTTAGATCTGATATAGTAATACACTACCGTGAGTCGTTTCCCTGACAGTCTAGATAAGTGCTTTTCAACCTTTTCAGTTTTAATACCTTTTAAAAAATACTCAGTGAAGAGTCAGGCTTCTTCAGAAATATATAGATTGCTAGGTGGTACAAGAACTTGTTTTAGTTTTGTCAGCCTTTAGAAGAGGCCGCAAGTGAAAAATATGCTGATTTCAAAAGCAAAATTTGATTTAGAGCAACCCTGTGGCCAAAGCACTGCCTGATGTAAATCCAGTCACTTTTGTTGCCTATGTAAAAATGCTCTTTCAGAAGCAACACAGCTTTATGATGGAAATGCCTTTAGTGCTTAAAGACTTAGGCTTTGTTTGGGTTTTTTTTTAGCTCTTTAGCTTTGCAGAGCCATCACAGCTCAGGGGCACTGAGGTGATGATTTTCCTCTTGTTCATCAATAGCAGTGCTCATTAGCAGTCACCTGAGCAAGATTGCTAAAGGCAGAAAAATTACACAGGTGTTCTGGGGAGAGTGGTTTTAACACTGCAGTTGTTGAAATACTATGTAACCTTTAATTTTCTTTGTAAAAGCATTCTAGAATAGCTGCTGAGGAGGAAAAATCTCACCTTGATTTTAGCGTTCTATTATAAAATATTGGTTTTTTAAATACCATTTCATAGGCTGTTATTTCTAAGTGCTTAAGGCTACTGAGGAGAAATTTAGGTCTATTTTAAAGAACTTTTAGATTAAAGCCAAGACATCCAAAATGGAACAATACACAAATCAAAAAACCTCTTCAATACTCCTTTGCCCTGGACCCACAAACCTCTCTTTTTTATATAGAACATAATAAATTATTTTCTTGCTGTTTGCAGGTGCTCCTGACCCAACAGCAGGTGCTAGCATAGATGATGAAAACCGCTGGCATTTGGATGAAGAACAGGTCCAAGAACAGGTTAAACTCTTCCTCTCCCAGGGTGGATACCATGGATCAGGGAAGCAGCTCAATGTGCTTTTTGCAAAGGTATGTTGAGTACTTTAAACCGTCCCTCTTTTCTCTCTCCCCACTTCCCTTGCCAGCCTATACTTGTTGCAAATCTGTCTTACTCTAAGTCCTATTTGTTATGGTTTGGGAGACCCCAGCACGGTGTTGGACACCTATATAGAGAGAGGGTCCTTAGGACCCTGAAAGACTGGAAGGGGTCAGTATTCCCACTCACTTCCTGTCACAATATATAAAAGCCAGGAGAGCAGGAAGCCACTCCTTTCTCCCTTCCTGCTCTTTTCTCCCTGCTGGGGCTGCTGCTTCCTTTGGCTTCCCATGTGCTCGCTCCAGAATCCAACTGCATTGGGTGCTGTGAGGAGTCGTGGATCTCTCCCTTGGAGAGGCCTTGCCTTTCTTATATCCCTGCCATCCTCGAGATTGGTTTTGTATATAGATACTTACCTCTTCTTCCCTCACGTTTTACCCTTTTAGCTTGTGTTATGGTAAATTTGTTTCTAGTTTCAATTTCTGAAGTTTAAGTCTCTCTTACTTATTCCCCTTCTATCTTCCCTTGGGAGGGTGGAGGGAGGTAATAGAGTCTGTCCTCTGTTATTTTGGGAATTCACCTTTAATATTTAAACCAGAACACTATTGTTCAAAAACAAGAAAAGGCTTGGGAACATGATGGCAAATTAATAATGCAATGGAACACAATCTGGTGTGCCTTGAGATCAGTTTAAGGATATGAAGTAACATTTCAACTGCCTGCACCTTTGCTCTTCCTTCCTACCTCTAAAATGTTGAAGAAAGCTGTAGAAATGATGGTCTTGCAGAAGCTCTCATAATACACCTATGGATTACTTATGGAAGAAGTGTTTTTGCAGAATTGCAATGGGATACTGAAACTAAAAAAATGTTGATAAATTTGGATGGCAGACTATTTTTTTCAAATTTAAAATTTCACATCAGATATATAAATGATATTTTTATTTAACAAAGGTGGAATGTTCAACACTGCAGTGTATTGTCTGTACTCTGGTTTGGTTTGTTTTTTTAAAGTTTTTATTAAAAGACTAATTTCCTAGGTGCGAGAGATGCTAAAGATGAGAGATTCAAATGGAGCTCGCATGTTGACGCTGATAACAGAACAGTTCATGGCTGACCCTCGTCTGTCGATTTGGAGACAACAAGGAACTGGAATGACTGACAAGTATAGGCAGCTCTGGGATGAACTGGGTAAATGCACAGACTTCAAAATTATTTAGGTGTTCATGTGTATAATGAAACAATTACATATTTTGGATGGAGAGAAACTATTGTAGCACTAGGTAAAGCAGGTTAGAGTTTTCTGCAGGTTTGTTCAGTTAAGGTTTGGTGAAATTGGATTTTTTATCTACTCCATGAGACAATTACAATTAGAGGAGAGGGAGCATGGTATGAAACAAGTTGTAAGTACCTGAGAATCTAAAAAGAATAAAGCAAAAAGTGAAATGTAGTTACACAACTGAGGATAAGTATATAAGCTACTAGTGCTAAACTGGAAATGTTCACAACTAGAGAGAAATGGAAGGCAAAAAGAGAAGATTCATTAGGAGTATGAGAAGATAGCAACAAAGGAAAGCAGAAGTCCATTACTGAGCAGGAAAGGAGATCAAATAACAGAGGGTTATTAACACTGCTTTACAGGAAAGGTCAGTTGTGACCAGATACATGATTTGTACAACAGAGAGAGGAACACAAGCTGAAATGGGAAAGGAATATTTAAACTGGTAAAGTCTGAAGACATTTACTCTAAAATGTTCCAGAAACTCGCTGACACAGTTTTTAACTTCTGCTTCAGAAGTTCTCAAATTCTATAGGAATTTGTGGTAGGGAGGGGAATTCAAAACGACTTGAAAGTAAACATCACCAATATATTAAGGGTGGGTAGGTGAGTGGAAAGAATTGTTACCATAAAATTCGGTTGCTGAAAGAACCCTCTAACACCTGTATTTAAATTTTAGATGGCAGACATTCTTTATTGCAGCACTGGATGCATGAGAGAGAGTTCTCTAAAGCTGTGCATGCCATAAGAGACAACAGGCAAGACATATTCTCCTACTAGATGCATATGCATCAGATTTTCTGGAACTCATTGTAATATTTGTATTCTCCTTATCTATGAGCTTCAAGCTTCTTAGGTGGTCCAGGGAGTCGTTCTGAGGTGTTAATCCCTTCTCCAATGCATGCTGCAAGTCTAGCTGGTCCTAGTCAATTTCCAACTGCAAGGCCCCTAGGTCACTGAGTTTGTTTTCTATTTACATGCAAAAGGCCTGGGGTGAGCCCAAATCAACGTCCTATTGTTAAAGGTGTCAGAAAAAAAATTCTTCTGGAGTTGCACAGGCAAGGCTGGACTTCACAAGGTTTGCTATTATCTCTATCTACTGGAGGTTTCTTCGCTGCTGACTGATAGTTTTGTAGCCAATCATTTATCCAAGAATGTGGAGTCAGCATCTTTCTACTAAAAGTACAATAAAATAACCTAGTCGGCTGGCATTCAGCTAAATCAGTAAATTATATAAAGTAAATTAATTATTCCAGTAAATTTCTATTAAGCTTAATTCCATCTTAATATATTTTATTAAATCTAATAAAGAATGTTCTATAGCCATCAGAATAATATTAAGTAACCACTAGCATTGCTTTCCTAGATGTAAGGTACTGGAACAAACTACTAACCAGTTGGTATGTAATCATATAGAAGATAAAAGTGATAAAAGACAACCTGAATTATTTAAAATACAGTGGTAAGTCTAATTTGTTTCTCTAAAAGATAATTTACTGAGTGTATGAGTGAAGGAATTAGTGTGTATATCTTAGCTGTAGTAAGGTTTTGGATGCTGTCTTGGAAACTTTCTCAACGCAAGTTGAAGACACACAGCCTAAGTAGAATTGCCTTGTGATTCGTGGAACTTGGAGTAGTTACTTATGCTCTCACACGATCTGGAAAGACACTTAAAGTCTAGACTTACAGGAGCCTGTCTTGATGTGTTCTGGTCAATATTGCTATTCCTGACATGTGGCATGGAATATGAATATATATATAAAATTTTTAAAACCTGTCAAAACAAAAAACATAAATCCAACAAAACAACAACCCAAAACTTACTGATGACACCCCTTTGGACAATATGTAAACATTGTGGAGAACAAAACCAAAAACTCTACTGCTCTTGGTACATTTTAAAGGTCCAAAATCAAGCTAAAGGAAATTAAATCCAAGCAAGAATAACGTGCTTCATTTAGAAAGGAAAAGACAAAAGGAAAACTGAAGTTTTACACTGTTAAAAATGACCATAGAATCATAGAATGGTTTGGGTTGGAAGGGACCTTAAAGATCATCTAGTTCCAACCCTCCTGCATGGGCAGGGACGCCTTCCACTAGACCAGGTTGTTCAAAGCCTCATCCAACCTGGCCTTGAACACTTCCAGAAGGGGGCATAAACAACTTCTCTGGACAACCTGTTCCAGTGTCTCACCACCCTCACAGGGTGTCTATCCTAAATCTACCCTCTTTCAGTTTAAAGCCATTACCCCTTGTCCTATTGCTACATCATGCCCTTATAAAAAGTCCCTCCCCAATGATTGATTCCATGTTGTCTGGTGTGGGTCAAACTGGATATAACCTGTTTAGCATAATTTATATTAATTCTAAAATGAATTAATTCATTCTAAATGAAGCATTAGGCTAATAAAATACTGGCTGTATATAGTTGATATTATAGATTTATGCAGTAGAAAGCCTTAATATCAGAACAAGCAAAGCTCTGTCAGAGAGTGTAGATATAACTACTTCACCTTCAAGTATGTCAGCTCTCTTAGTATGCAATTGTGCCCCTGTACTTGGCACTGGTGAGGCCGCACCTTGAGTACTGTGCTCAGTTCTGGGCCCCTCACTACAGGAAGGACATTGAGATGCTGGAGCATGTCCAGAGAAGAGCCATCAAGCTGGTGAAGGGTCTAGAGAACAAGTCATATGAGGAGCAGCTGAGGGAACTGGGGATGTTTAGTTTGGAGGAGGCTGAGGGGAGACCCCATTGCCCTCTACAACTACCTGAAAGGAGGTTGTAGGGAGGTGGGTGTTGGCCTCTTCTCCCATGTGAATAAGGACAGGACCAGAGGAAATGGTCTGAAGCTGCAGCAGGGGAGGTTTAGACTGTATATTAGGAAGAATTTCTCTACTGAAAGAGTGGTCAGGCACTGGAACAACCTGCCCAGGGAGGTGGTTGAGTCACCATCCTTGGAGGTATTCAAGAAACATGTAGATGTGGCACTTCAGGGCATGCTCTAGGGGCCGAGGTTGTAGGGTTTGGTTTCTTGTGTGTTTGGGGTTTTTTTTGGTAGGTTGTTTTTTTGTGGGTGTTTTCTGGTAGAGTGTGAGTGGTTGTGTTTGTTAGGGGTTTTTTTTGTGTTGATGCTTGGAGTCTGATCTCAGAGGTCCTTTCTGTCCATGACAATTCTGTGATTGTGATCTTTCTACTAAAAATAAAATAACCTAGTCAGCTAGCATTCAGCTAAATCAGTAAATTATATAAAGGAAATTCATTATTCCAGTAAATTTCTATTAAGCTTAATTCTATCTTAATGTATTTTTATTAAATCCAACAATGTTCTGTAGCCATCAAGATACTACGCTTGATCTTAGCCAAAAGGCCAAGAAGCAATACATCTTTACATCTATACAACTTTCAGTTCCTATACATCTGAAAAGTTGTAGCTATCTCTGCTTTTCAAGTTCTCAGAACTTCTTTGAAAGCACGTTTTTACAAATCTGACCATGTAATTTTCCTTCCCTGCTGGTATCCTTTTAGTATTGGCTAAAGAGGTAACATGATCTGAGATTTAAAAGTGACAGATTGTGTTATGCAATTTAATTTCTAACATCTACTCAAAACCTAATAGAGATAGAAATTACACAGTTGTGACAAGCTGTCACGATCCACGACCTATTATATCTCCTTTTTGGAGTGTATTCAGCTTGTCAGGATCTGCTGAGAGGTCCGCACGTGGTGCTCGCCTCTCACAGAGGAGCAGTAGACTTCAACACTGACTTTTCGAGTGAGTAACTTGCTCGGTAATTACCAATATGTCCAATAACAGCAGCCAATCCCCAATTAGAATTTACGAATGACCGGTTATTGTGGGGAAAACAAAACAATTTGGGGCAGGAGGTTCAAAAGTGGTAATTAAAGCATATACGAGCTGTGAAATATCTTTTAAGGACCAAATAACAAGAACTTATGTCTTAATACTTATATATGGGTGCACCTTAGTTACACACCTTATTTAATTATTTATGAGGGGAGGAGGAGGAAGGATATGCCCGACGCTTGTCCCATATAGGGTCGCGGTTTGAGTGCAGGTAAGACAGGATTATGCCTTCCCCTGCAACCCGGTTTTAGGACCAGGGGTGGCAGGAATTAGTCTCACAACATGTATTCAGCAGCAGACGGGTTCCTGAGGGTGGTAGCTGTAAGCAATGCAGGCAGGCTGGCAGGAAAAAGCTGCGGCGACAACAGGATGAGCTGGGTCAAGCCGGGTCTAGCTGGAGCGAGCCGGAACCAGCCGAGAGCCGGGACTAGGCGAGGCAGGACTCGGGCTGCAGCCGGGGACCTCAGGCTGGCAGGCACTCCAAGGCACAGGTCACCCCCCCAAAGCAAGCAGCAAAAGCGGCGGCGGCGGCACGTGGCTTAGCGGCGGCGCGCGGCTTTGGGACCGCGCTAAGCGGCAGGAGCGGCTTCAAAAGCGCAGCGGCAGCGAGCGAAGAGTGGCAGAAGTGGCAAGTGGCAGTAGCACGTGGCTTCAGCGGCAGGAGCAGCTTCGGGACCGCGCCGAGAAGCAAGGAGCGGCAGAAGCGGCAGTAGCATGGCAGCGAATGGCAGCAGGAGCGGCTTCAGGCACACGGCTTCAGGCACACGGCAGCAAGCAGCTCCAGCGGCAGCAGCAGGAAATGGCAGCGGCAAGCAGTGTATGCTGAACAGCGCGCCGAACACGAGGAGAGAACGAGAGCAAGAGAGAGAGGCAAAAGCAGCTGTGCTGCCTCTTTTATGGGGTTTTTCTTTTGCTCCCGATTGGC